TTTCACTCGCCAATCATATTTTTCTTACTTTAGGGAAAAGTTAATGAGAAGTGAAGCACCAACGTTTTATTGATGGGGCAATATTTTTAAATCAAAGAAAAAAAATGAAGGTTTACAAGATTATCCCTATTTAAGGATCATGGTTCATGTCCCATAGACTTTATCTAGTACATCTAAAAAAGTGCATCAAGCCAAATGGTGTCTAGTGATGCATTTATGACTTATGTTTTTTTCATTGACTGTTTAAATTTTTAAAAAACATTTCATCACAGTTGGCTCTGTTTTCATTAGAATGATTTATCCAGTTTTTTTTTTTACCTATCAAGATTTTATCATAAATTAAATATCATTTTATCTTTAATCTTTGCTTTATAGTTTTTTTTTTTTTTTTTTTTTTTCTGTATTTGGTTACTTGAATGTAGAATTTATGTTGATTATATAGATCTTTAATGTTTCTTTCTTAAATTCCGTTTTTATGCTGCCCTCTCTGCAACTTTTAAATGCCCCCAAGAGACCAATAAAGGGATTCAATTAAACTGAATTATTATTAAGATTACATTTTCTTATTTTTACTGCTCTTATCTTACTGTTGTGTAATGAATTATATGGTATCAGTTTGAAATATCTGTGTCTTTCTTAATGATTGGATGGTTGTTCCTGGTTATAAATTTTAGAAAATGTAACAAAGTTTCACTGTATTTAAAGTGCACTAGGACTGAAGTGGAGTGCTTGATTGAGTGTAAATAAACAATTGATAATTAATCAAACATTTGAAGCTACATTTTGATGCATTCAGACAAAATAACTTTCTCTTATTACAATTGTCTGAGGGCTGCTGTGCATAGTTACTAATGAAGAGCTGCTTAATGAGTGAAACTGTTCAGAAATAAATAATAGAATAAATAATATAAATAAAATATAGAAATAAATTCTTAATGTTTTGTCAGAAATTATATAGAATGCATCCACTGAGCAGAGATTATATTCAATGGACACTGACTGCAGCACATCGACTAAAATGAGTCTCCATACATTGAATATCTTTTTTGAATATCTGTTCCCCAAAATTCTCTATTTTAGGGCATCAGAAATATGAAAACATTAAGAATATGTTTAGAAGTTCTCTCTTTGTTCATATTTCAATCCGTTTTCTAGGACAGCCTTAGGTAAACATATTAACAGAATGATTGACACTTAGGAGGGCCACTTATTTTGATGATCCACCTGGAAAAAGAACATCCTCCACTATACCTTTAAAAGGGGATCTGATTATTTCTCTCCCTTATTCAATCAATGGATTAGCTTAATCTAAAGAGTTGTACTCTGGACTCGGTGGACATCTTTAAAAAACAGCTAAAAACACACGTTTTCAATAGCCTTCCAAAGCACATAGCCTGTTGTTTTATTCCCTTATTTATTATAGCTTTTATTGCATTTTATCTGTTTTTACTTGTGTTGTTTTTATGTTATCATGTGAAGCACTTTGTGACTTTGTCTGTGAAAAGTGCTATACAAATAAAGTTTACTTACTTACTTACTAATTGTGAAAAATAATTTAACTTAAGTAAAACACTGGAATTTATTTTGTATGCCTGTTATATGTTTATTACACTGCCAAAATCTAGACTGTACTGTTCTAGTATTATTGGAGAGTAGCTATATATATATATATGTATATATATATATATATATATATATATATGTATATATATATTTCTATAAGCAATGGACATATACATATATAGAGAGATCGACAGACAGACAATAGATGTGTGTAATTTTTAAGTGTCCATATTCAATCTCATGCAATTTAGTTTTCCCCAGCAGACATTCAGCAAAGAAACACATACTTGCATTTACCCTGCTGTTAATATTTTTCAACATTTATTTGAATATTTATTTTATTTCAGAGTTTTTATTTATGCCGACAATGTTTTTATGGCCTTTACAGCTTTTCAGCTTTGTTTAAACTGTGAAAGCGCTTGTACATTGTAAGCTGCAATGTTCCTGGCACCCAATCCAGACGACACCAACCTACTTTTTGAGAGGTCAATCAGTGTTCAAGCCTGGGGATATAGAAAATTAAAAAAACAGAACTCACAACAAAAAACACTGAATTGCCCCTAAACTCAGCCTGTCCTCACTGTCCCGTCTAGTCGAGGTAAAACAGAGTTCACCAAAAGTTCAGCCGTCGATTATCATAGTGGGATTTGGTGCTATTGGATTGTGACTGGAGAGAGAGGAGGAGCCAGTTCACCAAATTTACCCAGCAAAACTGTTATGACAGATGACGTGTTCTGCACTTTCGACCCCTATATTCGGGGTCACTGTTTGGTCACAGTTTCGCTCCAGGCCAACTGTGTTGTGGAACTCTGTGTGAGACTGGCACAGGGACTCAGTTAAGTTTAAAAAAACTGGGAAATCCTAAAATATCTCTGTTACTGGCCTTGTGTCGTAACATCTCTGAACCTGCCCCGCCCAACATGGAAACAGGTTCAACCAGAGTTCACAGTGATAAGCCACGCCCCTTCCTCTTCACGTCACTAGGGACATGATGTTTTATCATAAGCATGACACACTTTTGTCCAGTTTTCTGTTAGTAACGTTATAGCGACCCCTGATGAGTCTATACGCGTCTTATCTGAAGCTTCTGCGTTCTCTTAGAAACATTTCCCATTAAAGCTTTTAATCCGTCACACTTAACCCGAAATGCATTTCTTTAACTATAAACCTTTTTTTTTTTAATTATTATTATTTAACATTTTGTATCTTTTTTCCCTAACATTTAACCTCCGTATGTAACCTCTAAAGAAATTGTTTTATTGCCCAGTACACATCGTACGTTATATAACAGAAATTATTACTAATAATACACTGGAAACTATTAATAGTAATATAAATAACATAACATTTGTATCCTTATGCCGTTTTATATCATAATTAATTATTTACAATATAACAATATAAGGATTATATATCTTAGAAAAATAAATATGCACAGAAAACTAAAAATAATTTCTGCTACAATCAAAAATTATAAGAAATTAGATTTCCATGATAGTATTGAAATTATTTTCACACAATAACATACAATTTAAAAAAGTTAAATAAGTAGAAGAAATACCTTCACAAAAATCCCACCAGCTTTGGCCTAAATATTTATATTTTTTCATTATTTTATTTAATCTATTCTATTTTGGTTAAAAATAAATAAATACATAAATCATTAAATGTAATTTATTAAAATCTATTAAATTGGTAATTGCTATGTATTTTCATCATTATTATTCAACTTCCAAAATTGTATTTGATGAAAAAGAGAAATGTACAACATGCAAGGCAAACTGGGCTACCTGAGCCAAATTCCTTTTTTTTCTTTCATTTTTAAGCAATTATATAATGAACACTTTTGATCCAGTTCTAAAACAGTGCTAAACAGTAACAGTTCCTAAAAAATGCGTTATAATGTAATATATTAAAGGATTCTGTAATGTTTGTTTTGTTTTAAAAGTTGTTCCTTTTTAGACACCGAAAAAGAAAACTGTAATTTTTAAGAGGAAATGTATTTTTCTTAATGTTATTACCCATCTATAAAAAAAAAATGTATAGAAAATTAAAGCAAATTTATAAATTTAAAAAAATCTATGATACAATCTATAGTAAGAAAAAAGCAAAGGGATCTTAACAGGAAACAGACCTTATTTGGGATGAGAAAGTACAACAGATCTTGAGTGAATATTAAAACAAGTCAGTATAATAGATGTTCATTTTTATCCATCTTTTGACAGGAAATCAAATACAAAAGATAACCAAATGTTAACAACAGATCTGCAAATTAGACTGTATGAAATAAGAAAAATCTTATGCCACAAACATGTATTATTTGATCTTATTTCTCATCAATATAAAATCTAATGTAATCACTTGATTTCTTGTCATTTTTCGTACTGCCTCTGGAACTATTAGATTTTCTTTGTGTCACAGATGTGTCAGTAAAGCTCATGTTCTACACATGAGTAATTATGAAGGAACATTTCCCAGTCTGTGGCCTGCTGGCAAGCTGGGTCTAATATTAATGAGGATAATAAAGTAAAGAGTTAGAGCGCCCACTTGTGTTGAAAAAGAAATCATTACATCAAGCAGATGGTGAAAGAAACGTATAGTTAACATGGTAAGAAACTTTAATTCAGAACATTCTAACCAAGGAAAAATAACAGTAACAGAGATGCACTATTAGTGACACAAAGTAATACATTTTCAACAATGTCTAAATAAAACAATAACATAGCGTATGCCCATCTAGTTTTCCATATCTGTAGTAAATAACTCAAATTGCAAAATCAAACAAATCTTTCCATTTTGTCTTCCTCCTTTTTTTAAATATCTATGGTGATACATATTGCACACAATAGTAATTATCTTAGAAATTTTTCATTAGACCTCTCAATGGAAAACTGTTAATAAACATGACATTTGAAACTGACATAATTTAAAGCCATTTAATCAAGTTATTTTCTATGTGATTGATAAGGGAACTTATCAATCAATTTTTTAATTATGTGTGTTTATCATTGTTTTCTAATTTGGATTACTGAAGTAATTCTGACCTGATGCAACATTAGGCCTATCTGTTTTCTTAGTTTCTCCTTAGTTTTGATAATAAGATCATTCCAGCTTTATTTTTTTCAACATAAAAAAAAACCCTGAATCCTGGAAGTTTTTGCACGAAGGCATCACATGAAAAGAGTTGCTTTGATTTTTTAAAAACGAGCATGGTGGTGTTTATCAGGTTAGTGTGCAATGTTAACCAGAATTCCTCATTTAAAAAAAGCAAGTTTAGTGCAGCTCAACGAGTTGGGAAAAATAATTATGAACAAATTTTTTTCCTATTTGTAGAAGCTGGTTATCCAACTTTAATTTCCTACTATCTCAATCGCCACTTTTATACTTATAGTTATGAGAGAAAATAAAGTAAAAGCAGTGAAAAGTGATCCAGTAACAAATTTATAAAATATTTTAGTACATTTCGACCAAGTTCCCCACAATATTTTAACCCTTATATAACTTTGTGCAAGTCAGTGGTTTCTTGGAAAATACTTACTTTTGGACAATGATTCCAAAATTGATTAAATACTGATCCAAAAACAATATAGTCGAACATTTATATATTAAATTCAGAGAAATTAACTAAAAAAAAAAAAAAGAAAGAAAAAATCACATAATTTAGCTTATATCTCAGAAATTATTATTGTTAACATCCTACTTATTGATTTAAAAATTAGCTTAGAATTGGTCATTAAATTTAAGCTAATTAAAAAATGAAATCTGTCAGTTTACAGCTATGGATATTTATTAAATAGTGCATATTACATCTAACTTACTGAAAAGGGTGAAGGGTGGAGCAGAGGAATAGAGGAGTACCTTTGAGTGAAGCAAATTTCATGAAAAAGAATAACATGCATTGTCAGCATAGTTTTATATTTCCATGGGAAATATGCTGTGAGCTCTTTATCAGACAGCCACTGATCAAAACCTCTTCAAACGGACAACCACCGAAATCCAGTTTTTTTAGAGGGATGTTGTCACCTTCTGAATCGGTCCCAAATCACACTAAAGATGCAGGAGAAGAAACGCCATATTCTAGTATGAGAAAAAAAAAGAAAATCAGACATCTGTGAAAGACACCTTGCCACTCAAAACTCTACTCAAGTAACAAGCATATATTTCCCAGGTTTTTTAAAGGTTAAAACAATGAAATTGTAGTTTCTTTAATAAAACAAATGCATTTTATTCATTTATTCAATATTTATTTGCATTAACTTGCTACAAAATACAGAACAAGTAATGAAAAGATATAAAACACAAAGCCAGAAACTACGGATCTATGTTTTTTTTTTTGTTTTTTTTAGAAATAGGGTTGGACAGGTAATTGCATTTGCAATATAATCACACTTTTAAAATGTCATTTCCAAATTCCAAAGGCATGCAATTATAGGGCTTGCTGTAACATTTAATGAGAATAAGACACTTTTCTGACTATTCCTTTAGGTAGTGGAAATACGATTAAAGAAGAGAGATTTGGAGCTAGTACAGAGATCTATGCATACAAGCTAAATGCAGTAGGGAAACATAGACCGTGGACAGGTGGGCATTTAAGGCCATGAAGACATGGAAACCCTGGAGCCATACATGTTTACTTGTGGTTAGTGCTGCGGAAAATTAAATTGCAATTAATTCATTCAGTCAGTCAGCTGGCGTCGCAGACAGCGCTTTAAAATTCTTTTAATAATTTGTCTCTGGAAAATAAACCATCTGCTGTTTTCTCAAATTCCCAAAATTTGTCTTGCCTTTTGCAGAAATTGGTCAAAGAAAAAAAAAAAAGGTTAGTTTACCTTACAACTGGTGCTGCAGTTTTTAGGCACAGATGTGTGAACTCTCCATGTGCTCCACAGCAGGCTCCACCAGCCGGTTGTACGAGAACGCCAACATTATCTGTAGAAGGTGTAAATACACGGTTTGCATCATGAATAAGTAAATAAATGAAAATAACTGTTTACTTTGCCAAGCCAGACAAAGCAAGGAAGTTACATATCTCTCCTTTAACACAGTTCTGTAATAGATGCAGAACATGCAGTAGCCTTGTATTTGGTATGCACACCACACGCAAAATATACACGCATGCATGTGTGCAAGTTAATGAAAACTGATCATGGGTATGAATTTTACAGTAATGCATAAACATATTTTTCTGTCTGTCGGTTTTTTCATTAAAAATAGGTATAATCACTTTGGTTTAGGTACAACAGCTTGCCTTTGCAAAATGGATAACAAATGATAGATTTCAGCTTCTGTCTCTGAACTTTCTGCTTTGTTTTCTATCTTGTACTCATAGTTATCCACTTTATCTGGGACCAGATTACAGGGACAGCAGTATTAGCAGATGTCCAGACTTTCCACTCCCCAGACACTTAGTCCAGCTCCACTGGGGAAAGCTTGAGGGATTCCAGGGGCAGTCAAGATACATTACCTCCAACATGTGGTGGGTGGTGTCTTTGGCCTCCTCCCAGTGGAGCATGCCACGTGGATGATGTCATACATACGCTGCTTTGTTTTAAAAATATATTAATATAACCGCAGAATGTATGGCGGACAGTGATTCACCTATATGCTATAAATTCTGCCGTACCATAAATGAAAAATTATGAACAGTTTAGTTTGTGCCTTCAACTCGTTGCCCATAGGAAGACGTTACTTGGATATAACCTAACGGAATATCTTCAGAACAGCTCCAAATGACAAAAAACTCATATAAGTGAGTAGAACATGATGTTATAACTTCAAATCAAGGGCCAAATATAAAAAAAAAATGTGTTTTCCTTTTAACATCACCCAGGGAAGTGTCCAAAGGTCCGAAACAGATGTACCTCAATGTGGAATAGAAGCGATCCTATTGAGATTCTTGTTCTCAATAGGACCGGAAACCCACCCCAGCCCTCCACCCCTACTCGCAGGACAATCCCGAGTAGAAGAGATTCCAGTCTCTCTCAAGGAGTTGGATTCAAGAGCCTAGGCTGTGTGTGGTGAGTCTCACTATTTCTAGCCAAAATCGCTCAACGTTCCTCATACGTTCAGACTCCTTTCCCCCAGGCAAGGTCATATTTTACATCCTTAGAACTAGTGTAAGTCTCCATAGACCAGTTTACCAAGGCTGTGGACTGCTGCCCAATACACACAAAAATGGATCAGTGCAATCTGACACTGATGTTTCTTAAGCTGAAATTCACTTTTAATATCTTTAAAAAGTTTTCTGGGATCTCGTTACCATTCTTATTATCCGTCTCTTTGATTTACCGTCAGTTTTCCTCCTGCAGTCATGTCCACAGAGGTTGGCTACAGTCCCATAAATCTTACAGTTCCGAATAATATGTTCAACTGTAGTCACAGGAACAATAAGTTGCTAGGAGATGGTCATATAGCCTTTACGTCAACATGCTTGTGTTGAGATCAAATGTTGATGATGTAACCGGAACTACTCCCTCTGAAGATACACCCCTCTGATGGAGTTTTTAAAACAAACCGCTTCCCGTTCAGCTTCCTGTTGCTGGTGGCCCGCAGCTGCTAAAGGCTAGACTAAGCATTTCTCTGCTAAAAGCCATGCTAAGTAGTGACCAAATCCCTCGGGAGAGGTCCATGTTTGCTGGACTAAGTCAGACTACCTTTCCTAGAATTCAGAAAAAGCCAATCGTAGTGCCCGTCCTTTTCCTATGATTCGGAAGGAGATGATCATAGTAGCTGATGTTTTTCCTGCAATTCAAACGTAGTTGAATGCAGTGTTTACTGAAACCGTCTGCTGCAGCAGGGATAGAGCTAATCCAGTTCTGGTAACCTAAATCTAATCACTGAAGGAGCAACAGCAGGGCCCAATTGCTGTTTGCCAAGGAGCAATTAGAAGCTACTGACCGGCGCCATATTGTTCCTGCCTGAGAGGAGCCGCTGGGGCGCTGCTGCATGAGGGCTACAGGGAGATGTCCTATAGCCATCTAAAGGACATCTCAGATGTGTACACACTCATCTGTAAAGTGTGTACAGATGTTTCTGATGATTCTGCTGCTCCTGTGTTCAATGGCAAAGAGCAGCTTTGCTATATTTACTATTATAAATGGGTAAAAAGTATGTTTTTAAGCGAGAAAGTCCACCTCAAAACTTCATCTGTGCAGTCAGTTCCTCAAGATTACAATCCTGCATTCAAATATTATTCAAATATTATTGTGGGACCAGCACAAAATCCCTGTTCACCGACACGCCATAACTGGAAATCCCCAGCAACAGCTGCCTCTGGCCCGGTCGCCTCTTGGGGGTTTCTGCTACTGTTCGTGGTGGCTGGAAGGAGATGTTAGCGGTTGTCATGTACATAATCCAAACTGTACGCACCAGAATAATAAAAGCAAATATATTTTACTGCTCGAATAGAACTGGATGACCTTGACCGCTGCGCCTTGATGGGTGTCAACCATCGACTTTGCAAGTAAACCAGCTGCTTTTTCTGCTTCCGTTTTATGCAGTCTGAACATAGAACAACTAGTATAGAAGTGCAGGAGTGTCATGATGTGACAATGCCAAGATCCTGCACAAGTTCCTGTCCATTCCTGTCCAAGCGACGAGCCATGCAACAATACAATAGGTTACAAGTATGTATTTCATTTATTTCATTTATTTGATAACAAGCTACTGCTTATAGCTGTGGTTGCCTGCTTGTATGACTTCTTGAAAGAATAACATCAACTGATAACTGTTGCAATGGAGCTAGTTCAGTGGGCTAACAAACAAACGCTGTCCCTGCCGGGAGGACAAAGAAGATGATGGACTCGGGACTACACTGCCCTGTTTCTAATATATCTGGATACTTTTTTACTTTTCCTAGTAACTTTATCTGCCGTCTCACTGGAAGAAAATATGGACAGGCCACCATTTTAACAGAAAACATAAAAGGATCTCTGATCGTCTGCTTAATTCTCCACAACCAACGACATGTCTTCATATATTAGTAAAGCGCACAGGGCTAACAAGTTTGTCTGCTTTCGGCTACAGTAATTAAGGATGGTGATGCAACATGCCGTTTTCCATAGGGTGCATCGCCAGTGTTTTCAGACTGTGATCAATTCAAATGTATTTATAAAAGTAATACTTTATTTTTGCAATTTAAAGCAAAATTTATTAAACACTGTCTTTTTAACTTTTTGTTAAAAATTTATGTATTTATTGTTGCCTACCGTAAGTAAGATCAGCAGTGCCACCATTGCTCCCATCATTATATACATGTTGTCAGTCAGACCGCCTGCCCAGAGAGGACCAAGGATGGTGGCTAGACCCCCTACTGAGCGGCGTACTCCCTGGCTGAAACCTGAAAGGGCAGTGAATGACAAACACACATACATATGACATTTTTTTTTTTTTTTTTTTTTTTACCAATCGACATGGATGAGCTTTTGTTGTTTGACCATATATGTATGTAGCACAAGGAGATTTAGAAAAAAGTGCATCTGATATATTCCACTAGTATCCACTAGATGGTGCTGTGTCTCACCCTGAGTTTTCTCTGAAGTAACTTTGGAAAAGAGGGAAACCTGGGCCACTGCTACAAAAGGTAAGCCTAAAACCTGAAGAAAAACCCCAATGATGAACTCAGTCAGCTGCCATGAAAACCCACCTACAAAAAAAACACAATAAATACAGGAAGGTTAGAATTGGTCATAGAATTTCTCTTGATCCTTATATTTTACTGGATTTTATGCTTGTTTGACAAACTAAACAATGAAGTTCCTGGATTTTTTTTTTTCCAATTATTAGTCAATTTATGTACAATTGTTGCTAGTTTAGACTTACCTAAAGGGTTAGCAAGAAAGATGAGGCACCAGATACAAGAGATGTTGCAGATAACCAGACCAATGGCGAGGACCACCCGCTCTGCAACATGCCGGCTCAGCCAACGCACAAACAGGAAGCCGGCGATCACCACCACACCTCCGAGGCAGTACATCACACTGTTTTCCAGCTCTTTAAAGTTGAAATATTTTTGAGTAAGGGGCGTCACCATAGTCTGGAGAAATAAAAATGTAAAACAGAAAAAAAGCTTTAGGCAAATAAAGTCTTAAATTCTTCTAAATTAAAAAGTTTGAGCAATGTAATACCGAAAAGATATTTTGGTTTGATTACTGATCTTTTTTTTTTTATTAGTTACACGTTTAAAGATTTCTCTTTGCCATGTCATATATTTAATATTGTACAAGCACATCTATAAGAATTAGGATACAATTTAAGGAATATTTTTATTTATTCAGCAATTAATTTCAAACTTAGGAAAAAATAAAAGTCATATACAGACAGCGATAAATTTCAACCAAATATTGAATGCTGATTAAATTTTTTTAATTTTTTATAGAAAATCAAAAACTAAAACAATAATATTCAGAGATAAGGGTGAGCCAAAAAAAAAAAAAGTCATTTGTAAAGAATCTGGAGTCTCATTCATCAAAGATTGCATGGGATCCTTCTCAAAGTGTGAAAACACCAAAAAAAAAAAAAAATGTACATTTATCAAATCAACAAGCAAATTTCGTTGATAAATCCCACCAGTGTGCATAAGGCTCCACCTCATGTTATTGGGAGTGGTGCCCATTGTATAAATGTCATTGTGTATTTAAATAAGCCAGCTAATGTAAGTGAATTATTAGCAATCTAAGGCGACCACAGGCAAGAGAGCCGAAAAAAAGTGCAGAAATAGTGGTGTTAGGGAGTGAGGTAGACAGCCAGATAAAATTGATAGGGAAAGACAGTAGTGGGGTGGCAGACAAAAGGAAGCATTATGAATGACATTGTATTGCAATCTAATAAATGAAGCCAAAAGACCCCCATTCCAAAAAGGTGGACGCCTCCGTCTGCTCCAATTTGCACGTTTTCAAAAAGAGAAAAAAAAAAAAGCCTTATCGGGCTACTGTATAAAACCTCGAACTCAACACTATTCCTGACATTTAATTTGAAAAAGCTTCCTGGATGGGAAGCGAGACATCTTCAAACTTGGAAATCAAGTCCAGGGTTTTTTTTTTTATATTTTTTGGAATGACTATGACCTGGATGACTAAGAATCTTCACAAGCATATGAAAGACATGTTAAGAGTCTCATGTATAGAATTATCATATTAAAGGGACACAGCAAAGTTATGAAAATAAAAAAAAATAAAAAAATAAAGAACAAGGGTGAAAAAGTGGAAAATATATTTTTATCCAAGAGGGATAAGACTTAAATAGTGCTTGGAATACAGAAAGATGGTGTTAAATGAACCAGATACTGTGAGTAGTGCTGTACTTAATCTTTACAGTCTAAGCGCAACTGACATCATAAATAAATAGATTGACTGGTTAATAGAAATAAACAGTGTGATGGCAATTTTCTGTAACAGCTAAAATCCAGAAGCCTAGATCAGATTCAATTCAGGGCTCATTACCAATGCTCTTTCCCTGAGGGAAAAAATGTAAGGCATCTAATTTGCTTCCATTGCAACGTAGAGGTTTCAGCCTATGACTTGTTTTAGTTCATTGAAAAAAATTTCAGACTTAGCAGGAATAGGAATTGTGTTTTTCCTTTATATTCTGACAGGATTCACTAGAATTTAGAATTGGTCTAAACTTTTTATTTCATTAATATGGGTTGGTCTTCCACTACATCAAGCTGTTTACTGTAGGGTATAAAATGGTGGTCTACAGCGTAGGTGTGGCAATTGTTGGCTTCTACCTTTCTGATAGTTCTGGGCTACTGCCAGCAGGTGGCGCACATTTCTTCTTATGTGTACTAAACGTGCATGGTGGTAGAATTCTATTTAGGCTCCAAAATAACAACCAAAACACTATTAGAACAGACACTTTGTATATATAACCTTATTTTATTATGATCATATGATTTGTTTTTTATTATATATAGAAAAATGTGACTATGCCCCTTCAATGATGTCGTCAAAGACAGAGGATGGCAGTGAGACAGTATTATAGGGTTTTTTTCTGCCAATAATATCTAAGATTTAGTGATATTTTTAACAGTATTATTGTGTTCTTAAAAGTGGCTTCAGACAGAGTTACCTCTTGATTCTTGCTACAAAACCCAGAGTGATTAACAGTTTTAGTTATTAAAAATAATATTAATAATAATTTGGGTAAGCTGACTACCTTGCTTTCTTTATTTTTAATATGGGCAAAATAATTATCAGTTTAATCATCTTATTAAATTTAGAGTTTTCCTTTTTTTTTCTTCATAGATGGGCCTAGATGGATGATTTTGGATCTTAGGCTTCATGAAGCCTCATATATTTTTCATCCATAAAAAATCAATAATTCACATTAATCTATTATATTTAGTTATATGTCAAAACTTATATATACCATGAAATCCCGAGAGTCCATATTTAAGTGTTTTTTTAGAGCAATGCACCTAGCTATATTATTTTATACACTGGACTTCCCTGACCTCCTTTTATCCATGGCCTGTGATTAACAGGAATGGAGTGGGTCCATCTCAGCACATAGAGCAATGATCAGGGGAGTCTAATCAGCTCATTGGCCTGTAATCATCTGAAAATGGTTTCCGATTTTTCAAAGTCCTCCAGTAATCAGCGTACATACCTGCACATGAGTTTACAACAGTTTTTAAAAGTTTACAGCAATCAGTGTGAATGCCTCACACCTTGTTAGTTTTATTTCTTGATCTGTGGTACAACTCCCCGCATTGATCATCAGGAAGAGAGATGTGATGGTGAGAAATAATTCAAAAAGGATTTTGCGCAGTTTAATTAAGGATGCGAACTGCTCATAAGCCTTTCTTATTTATTTCACAGGGAGAACAAATTACACAGCAATGCTGGATGCTTATAATGACATCAATCTATGATTTATATTGTGTATAAAGTAAAATTAAAAGGCCTAGAAGGCTTAATCTGGCTTTAATTTCCATACACAATGTCTGTGTCACTATTTTCCACTTTGCTCCGACATGAGGGACCGCAACTTCCATGTTTTTATAGATTACAACCTTCATGTGGAAAGTAGAGAAGCACCAATCGATACTCAGATGGAATATCGGCTTCAATATTGACCAACTGGCTGGATCGAATATCGGATGAATAATGCCGATCTAACATTCCAATCCAGTCATTTCTATATACCGGTATATTTTTTAGATCTTACACAGCTGTGCAGCTACAGCGATGATGACTTCAATCTTTTGATTGCAATGCTGATGATGTCATCTCACAGAGCACACACACCAGTTAGTGATGATTTATATCCGTGTTAATCTGTTGCCTTTTTTAACAACATTTATGTCAAGCTCAATGCTTTTACTCATATTACAAGGTATAAGGTTAATTTATTGAACAGTAGTATTGGATTGGTACCTCAGCCCATGTATCGGATTGGATCAGGGAAAAAATGGACGGTGGCATCTCTAGTGAAAACTGTTGTTTAAAAATTACAAGCCCCATTGTGTGCGTACACAAGCTTAATAACTAAGACCCCTGGCCACTAACAGTATTATATCCATACATCTTAATGGACAATTTAGTGTTGGGAAACATCAGCAATAACAGAAAACCTGAAAACTCATCACAGGGTTCACAGATTTACAATGTCTGGACTGAGGCTGTAGTTCGTGCTTCAAGAGCAACTAAACATAAATGGATCCAGAAAGTTTCTTTCTCTTGGCCACTTCAGTATTGTTAAGAAGTCGTATCAATGCCACATAAGATAAATCTCAATTTTGTGATTTATTTGGATATGAATGTCACAAGATCATAAGGGTGAAAAAAATATAAAATCAAAGCTGGTTAATGTGTGAGCTGTTGAGAGCAAAGCCAGTGTAAGGTTTCCATAGTGACAATTTGGCGAGTGAAGTTTTTAGCTGATGTTGGTTCATACTGCAAAAAGGATGTAGAAATAACTTTAAATTCCTTAAATTAAGTATATTTAGCCTTAATTTAAGTAGGTAAATACAATTATTTGCCAATGAAATTTGTTTTTTTTTATCTTAAAATAAAATAATTGGAAAATTTACATTTGAAATCTGACAATGAATTGTTTTCTTATTTTAAATGTAAATTGTCTTGTCGCAATGGCAAAGTTTCTCACTTACCTCCTAGATTCAAGAAAAAAATGCACTTATTTTAGGGAAAATTTACTTTTTTGCAGTGCAGTATGGCTAATAATGAACAATGTCAGTACAGTCTCTGAGTGAAACTTTATCAGCGAAGTAACTCATGCAGAGGGACCCCAGATCAACTAATGAGTGCATGTACTGTACACTGACAAGCTAGCTTAAATCAAGTCTACAAATTTAGAGCCATAACCTATGACCAATACAGAAACATAAAGTAATACTACATTTTTTGTGTAACAAAGCCTTAGAATACAGGACATAATTTCTATTTGATAATCTAACTTATTTAAATAAAATTGGGTAAACACTATCTGTAATTTATTTTGAGGAAATTCTATTGAGGACAGTGTCACATAATTTATTATATATTTATACATAAAACAAATGTGGTTTGCTATTAAAGTCATGTCATTTTTGTAAATGTTGAGTGTTTGGTGCACCTCCAGTGCTGTCTGATTGAAAAGAGTGATGAACTGAGCAGCGAGCAGCACGACCACTTCTTCTCTCAGGAACTCTGACACAAAAACAGAAAAGTAAAGACAGATGATGGTGACCCAAATACAAAATCAGTCAACATTAATAACAATTTCTCAAAATGTTAATGCAAATATCATTACATAGACAGGTGGGTAAGACCAGCTTTAAAATACACATCTCTATATCTTATACCATAAGCAATCAGTAACTATGGTTTATAGTTAGAAATCGAACAAACAACTTGTTTTGATACTTTAGATCAAAAAAATTAAATTCACTCATTCAGCAAATTAGCCAACAATTACTTCTACCAGTTACCTTGGCATGAGCTGGAATTTCGGAGGCGTCGGTGCGCTGCCGCAGGAGATTCAAGTGGAGAATGGATTTGATTGAGAGAGTTGTTGGAGGCGGCCGATCTGTGGTTTTTGCACAGGCTGGATGTCATCACAGAGCCGTAGGAGCCCACAAGCTCCTGGGATGTCATTAACGGCTTTACCTCCTCCTCGACCTCATCTTCCTCTTCACCAAACCCATGCACATACTCCTCCCCATTATGTTTAATGTAGACCTTTTTCTTCTCCGTTGGTGGCAAGTCCCAGTACATGAAGACCACTGCCAGTTGAAGGAGAATCCACAACAGAAACATAAACAGCTGGAAGGAGCAGAAAAGAGAAATTATCATTCTTGGCCGGGTATCAAGAAAAACATAATCAGTTTACATTTTATCTTTATTTATCCTTACCCCTGGTGCAGTGTATTTGTTGACAACAAATGGACCAAGGTGAAAGTCACAGAGTCTCAGAAAGATGTTGAAAGCAGGGCCTAAAAATAACACAAATGTAAATGTTTCACTTTATTAACAGATTCTGGTTAAATGGGAACAGTTCAAGCATTTTTCTTGCTTTTATTTAAACTTTATTTTTTTCATCCAAAAAGAAAAATTATTAAAAGATAATCCAGTAAAAATAAATAAATAAAAGAGTAGAGAAGAACAAACCAATCAGAAGGCCAGCCTGTCGACAAGCCATGACAGCAGCGAATACGGTGGCCCGGTCTTCTGAAGCGGTGCTCCTGGTCAAGAAGCTAAAGATTGATGAGCCTGCTCCTGTACCGATGCCTGAAAAACATAATGGAGAAATTCTGGACTTAATTGGATTTAGAAGAAAAATAAACTTATGCAATGATCTGAGGAGAACAGCACACATTATGAACATTCCAGTTTTTCATCAAGAAAGAATCACAGAATCATACTATTTATGTTACTATGACATTACAACGAACGGTTTTTGTTTGAATTGAGGCTTAAAATATAGATATTGTATAGAGTTGAATAGCAAAGAAATGGAAAATAATAAGCAAAAAAATAAAATTAAAAAAACTCTATTTAAATGCAAATCTTTGGTTAGAGTGATCTAGTATTTGTAGAAAGCCACCATTATAAATACCTTGGTTGAAACATTTTGGGATGCAGGCACATATGATCACCAAGCATATATTGCATATATTATGGAATCTCTTATAACCTTACAGTTGGATTTAGATCGACAGAGCCAGTTTAAAAGTGTTGGCGTTTTTTTCAGCAATTCAGAACTTGATTTTCTGTTGTGCTTTTAAAAATCATCCTAATGCATAACCTAAGCTGCATTTAAGCAAAGGTTTACACAGTTAGATAATTCATGACCCCGTCAATGATGGCAAGCCATTCTATTCTTGATCCAATGAAAATGGCCCAGACCATCACACCACCACCCGATATTCCTGTCAGTGTCATGTTTTTTCCTAAAAAAAAAAACTGTGTAGGTTTTTTACATCAAAGGTCTTTTAGTCTACTTCAAGCTGCCAGAAAATTTCCATTTAGTTGTTTTCTTTCTCTACAAGTACTTGTATACCTTGTTTCAAAAAGAGCCAGGTTAGTTTTGCTAACTCTGTTTCCAAAGAAAATCTAATCATCATGTGAAAATACATGTTTTAGTTGCTTTTGTTATCACCGTTTTGTTGTTAAATATGTTTCAAGATATACAAGATTAATGTGTAGCAAAAAAAGAGAAAATCTGTAAGAGGGGGAAATGTTTTTAAACCCCTCCACATGATGGTAAAGCCATTAAAACAATCAGGCAAATAGAGGATTTTATAGCCCTGAAAATGTTTTAATAAGCCTTTATTGTGCAGGAAGACTTACCTGCTACCAGCCTACTTGACAGTAAAAGCCACTTGGAGTAGCCCATGAAGTACATAAAATTACCTGTAAAAGGCATAAAAATTAAATACAGTTACAGTACAGCACCCCCCATCAGAATCAATACATTTGCTAATTTTTACAGAAGGGTTAGAGGCAAATAAAAACAATTACATTTCTAGGAATAGGAAGGGAGTAAACATATGCAACTGATGACTTACCAATTATCTCAAAAAGGTTAGAAAGCAAAATGATTTTCTTTGTTGTCCGTGTCCTGTCGGACCAGTATCCAAACAGTGGTCCTGACAGAAGGCCGCTCAGGCTGAATGCCGACAGCGCCAAACCCAGGAAGTAAGGGGCTGCCTCTAAAGTCTGCAGGTACCTCCATATTGTTGGTAATATAACAGCTGAAGAGGCAAAAGAAAAGGGATTTTTCAGTATCGTTTTTGACCCCAAAATGCAAACTGTTCAAGTCGAAAAGCACAATAAATGTATTTGGTTGTTAAAACATGAATCTATAGTTAAAATAAATGTTCTTTAATTTTTGATAATACTCAGGGGTGTAAACAGTACCCACATTTGTTACTTAAGTAGAAGTATAGATACTGCAGTTTAAAAACACTCTGGTAAAAGTTGAAGTATCAACTTGACCTCTTTACTCAAATAAAAGTGAAAAAGTATGTGCTCCAAAAACTATTTAAAGTATAAAAGTATAAAGTAACCTTAAAAAAAAAACAGCCAGATGCCACTATATGAATTGAAAGCTCAATTTTTTCGACTATTTCGAATAATTCTTTGAGATAGGGCCAAGGATGAGGGAGGTCTTGTTGGTCTCCGTCTCCATCTCCCGATACGCTCTCCCCTTTGTCCGACCTTTCAGACATTTCAACATATTTTTCTGAATCCATCATTGTAGCATGGCATAGACAATTCACGTTTGCAGTTTGAAGAACACCTGCTTGCTATTGATGATTTCCTTTGGTGCTGTCAGCACAAATTTGACGAATAGCTAACCAATGAGTGTTTGCGTTATATGACTCATCCAATTACACTAGTTTTCAATAGATGTGGATGGCGCCAATGATCTGCATTGGATTGCACACATGACATGAAATAAATATTTATAAACATTAATCCAAAGCCAAGAGTAACAAGTAACTTTTGTTTTAAAAATTTAAGTAATAGAAAGTACAGGTACTTGTGTGAAAATGTAATGAGTAGAAGAAGTAGGAAGAAAAATAAGTAAAGGAGTATAGTATCGATACTTAAAAAGTGTACTTGAGTACAGTAACGAAGTATTTGTACTTTGTTACTTGACACATCTCATAATACTGATACATATAGATTGATCCAGTAAAATTTGTGAAAAACATATTAGGCTGTTCTATTTTACTGAGCATCTACAGATCACAAAAAGCTGAAGTGAGGAAAAAAATGTCTGATTTCATTATGTTAAACATTAAATCTTATCAAAGGTTTGCCAAAAGAAGAAGTTCTTCGACTTATCACAAAGAGGTTAACCCAGGGCAAAGACAATCTAAACTCAATGGCCAAGTTGTAACAATAGGATTGTTTATTAAGCACTGTTGCACGGGGGACGGATTTAGAGGTTGCACAGCAGACGGGAATGTTCGGATAACGTGGCTACTGCAGAGTGTTGATGTCGGCACGCCAATAAAGTTTAAGTAAGCAAAAACTGCTTTAATCGTCCATTATGTATAGTCTATAGTGAGACAGAACATAATGAAACATGGTGGCAGCGGTGTGCACGTCGAAAGTTGTAAGAATTAAGTAACTAGGAAAGTGAAAGTTTAGCTAGCGATGGAAGGGCTAAAACCCGTGGGACCTCTGGTTTTGGACTACAACAACTTGGCGAAGTCATGGAAAAGTTGGAAGGAGGAGTTCACACTGTACGTGGACCTTACCATGCCAGACGCCGAAGAAACCACGAAAGTGAAACTATTCACCTATCTCATCAGAGAAAAAGGCAGGGAACTTTGGACAACTCTGTCGACTGCTAGCCCTTCAGCGAGGACCACAGTGAGTTCAATGATCAAACAGTTTGACGAGTACTGCAATCCCACGGTAAACGAAACGGTGGAAAGATACCGATTCTTCACAAGGAACCAAGGCTTGGATGAAAATGTTGACAGCTATGTAACTGACCTACATATAAGAAGGCTTGCTAGCAGCTGCAATTTTGGGGACATTAGAGATTCACTGATTAGAGACCGACTCGTGTGTGGTACAAATAGCTCAGCGCTGAGGGAGAGATTACTCAGGGAAGAGAAGCTGACTCTAAATACATGCCTGCACATTTGTAGAGCTACGGAGCTGTCTAAGGAAAATAGCAGAACACTACAAGGACAGATAGCGGAGGAGGTACATACAGTAAAACAGTCAGTGGAAGAAACAAAAAGACACAATGAGATATTGTGCAAGTTCTGTGGTAGAACACACGAGAGGAATAAGAAAAAATGCCCAGCTTTTGGGAAAAAGTGTAAACAGTGTGGAAAGGACAATCATTTTGCAGCTCAGTGCAGATCGAGACGAGAGAGCAGTCGGAAAACCAAGAACCTGCATGCAGTTACAGAACAGACTAGTGACAGTGACTCATATGAGGATGTCAGCAGCATAACTGAAGTAAATAGAGAGGATGAAACTGTAAACCAAGTTAAAGACAGCCACAGTCAGAGCCAGCAGCTCTTCGCAGGAATGAAGATAGATGAACAGTTAGTTAATTTCCAGATAGACTGTGGGGCCACCTGCAATATCATCCCTATCGACCTACTAAACCCAGATATACAGTTAGAGCACACTAAGAAAGTGTTAGTGATGTATAACAAGCCCAAGTTGACTCCTCTGGGTACATGTAAGGTTAAAGTCAGAAACCCCAGAAACAACAAGCTATACAGATTAGAATTTCAAGTGGTTAACCAGAATAGCAGAATCATTTTACTGGGCAGAAAGGCTAGTGAGGCAATGAAGTTGATAAAAGTACAGTACGAGAACATTTTGGCTATAGACAGCATAGTGATGAAAAAGCCGAACCCAGTGACAAGAGGAGAACACGTGACCATGGACAAAATAAAGGAAGAGTTTGGGGATGTGTTCACCGGAGATGGCTGCATGGAGGGTGAATATAAAATAGAGATAGATGATAGAGTACCACCAGTGAAACTGCCAAAGCGCAGAGTGCCAGTAGCTATGATGACACCTCTACAAGAGGAACTCAAAGATCTAGAGAGACGACAAATAATCGCACCGGTGAAACGCAGCACTGACTGGATCAGTAGCATGGTCGCAGTGAGAAAACCTAATGGGAAGATGAGGATCTGTATAGACCCAAAACCTCTGAATCGGGCACTAAAAAGAAGTCATTATCCACTCCCAACTATAGATGACATCCTGCCGGAGATGTCGAAGGCAAAGGTGTTCACAGTCTGTGACGTGAAGCAAGGCTTCTGGCACGTCAATCTAGAAGAACAGTCGAGCTACCTCACAACATTCGCCACCCCATTTGGTCGCTTCCGTTGGCTAAGGATGCCAATGGGAATCAGCCCAGCACCGGAAGTTTTCCAAAGAAAGCTCATGCAGGCCCTGGAGGGCCTCCCAGGAGTCTTCATCATAGCTGATGATGTGTTAATCACGGGGGAAGGGGTAACACAAGAGGAGGCAGACAAGGACCATGACGAGAAAGTCAGAATCTTTCTAAGCAGATGCAGAGAGCGCAACATCAAACTGAACGTGGACAAATTAAAGCTCAGACAAAAAGAGGTACCCTACATAGGTCATCTGCTCACGGCCGAGGGACTGAGGATTGACCCGGAGAAAGAACGGGCAATCAGAGAGATGCCAAGACCAACAGATGTAAGCGGGGTACAAAGACTGGTTGGGATGGTCAACTATCTGTCTAAGTTCTATGACCACCTCTCAGATTACTGTGAAATTCTGAGACAACTCACGCGCAAGGAGAACTTGTGGGAATGGACAGATATCCAAGAAGGGGCGTTTCAAAGGCTGAAAGACAAAATCGCTCAAGCACCAGTACTACAGTACTACAACAAGGAAGAGGAGTTGACACTTCAATGTGATGCATCAGACACAGGACTGGGGGCCGCCCTGACACAGAAAGGGAAACCGGTAGCTTTTGGCAGTAGGGCACTCACACCAACTGAAAAAGGTTATGCCCAAATAGAAAAAGAATGCTTAGCCATCGTGTTTGGTATGGAAAAGTTTCATCAGTATACTTATGGCAGAGAGGTCACAGTACAGAGCGACCACAAGCTTCTCGAGAATATACACAGTAAGCCCTTACTTAGTGCACCTAAGAGACTACAGAGAATGCTACTCAGGCTGCAGCAGTATGATATTAGAGTAACCTATGTTCCAGGCAGGGATATGCTACTCGCAGACACGCTGAGTAGAGCATACTTACCAGAGAGCACCAGAGGAGAGAGTGAGACAGATATAGAGACTGTAAATATGGTCAACTACCTACCCATTTCAGCAGAGAGGCTGAGTGCCATCAGGGCAGCAACAAAAGATGACACAAAGTTGCAGAGTGTGGCAAATAGAATACTGTTAGGGTGGCCCAAGAGGAAACAAGACCTACCAAGTGACATCAGACACTACCACACCTTCCAAGAGGAACTGAGCTTCCAGGATGGCATTGTGTTCCGAGGAGACAGAGCCGTGATACCGGACGCACTCAGGGTGGACATCACTCACAGGATCCACTCCTCTCACCTGGGAGTAGAAGGATGTCTGAGACGTGCGAGAGAATGTGTATACTGGCTTGGAATGAATGAGGAGATCAAGAACTTCATCTCCAAATGCGACATATGTAGGTCAGTGGACCCAAAGCAACAAAGAGAGACACTACACCCACATGACATGGCAAGCAGACCCTGGGCCAAGGTAGGAACAGACCTTTTCTCTTTTCACAATAAAGACTATCTGATAACAGTAGACTATTATTAAAATTTTTGGGAGGTTGATTTTCAGCCCGACACGAAAAGTAACACAGTGATCAAAAAACTCAAAGCCCACTTTGCCCGACAGGGGATCCCGGACATTGTTATCTCAGATAACGGACCCCAATATGCATCACTAGAGTTTCAGCACTTCAGCCAGAAGTGGGGCTTTGAACATAGGACATCGTCGCCGGGATACCCGCAGAGTAATGGGAAGGCAGAGTCAGCGGTGAAAACAGCCAAACGCCTGATGTTGAAGGCTGCAGCAGCGAGACAGGATCCGTACTTGGCCATGCTGGATCATCGCAACACACCGAGCCAGGGCCTCAACACAAGCCCGGCGCAGAGACTTCTAAGCAGGAGGACCAGGACCCTGCTTCCCACTAAGGACACTCTGCTGAAGCCTGAGGTAACACACAACGAACAGGGACTGGAATACAACAGACAAAGACAGGAAAAGTACTACAACCGCACAGCAAAAGACATGGACTCTCTGGAAGGAGGGGCCAGTGTGAGAGTACAGCCCTGTGACACACACCAGGGCTGGAGACCAGCGAAAGTGGTTCAGCAGGTTAGCCATAGATCATATAAGGTGGAGTTAGAGTCAGGAGGGGTTTTGAGACGAAATCATCGCCACCTCAGGCACGATCTCACCAAGCGCACGATTACACAAAGCACACCCACACCAACAGTGACGGAGGCGGCCATACCACCGGGTGGCCCAGTGAACCAAGAGACGGTCACCAGGTCAGGACGACGAGTTGTCAGACCCCACTACCTCATGGACTATTCTCAGTGATTAGAGTATGGTCTATGAAAGAAGAAAAAAAAAAAAATGGAGAAATGGAAATGTGTTGTTTTATACACTTGTTACACTTGTAATGTATGTATTGTTTTATACACTTGTTACACTTGCGGGAAAACAGATGTTTTACACTTGTTGAGTTACTATCGCTTATGTTGTTAGATTGGTTGCAAATGTTGTTACACTTGGGGGAAAACAGATGTTTTACGCTTGTTGAGTGATTATTGCTTATGTTGATAGATCAGATACAAATGAATAGGACACAAAATGTATTACATTAGAATACCCACACTCCTGGAAAGAGAATAACTTGAAAAAAGAAAAAGAAAGATGTAACAATAGGATTGTTTATTGAGCACTGTTGCACGGGGGATGGATTTAGAGGTTGCACAGCAGACGAGAATGTTCGGATAACGTGGCTACTGCAGAGTGTTGATGTCGGCACGCCAATAAAGTTTAAGTAAGCAAAAACTGCTTTAATCGTCTATTATGTATAGTCTATAGTGAGACAGAAAGTAATGAAACACAAATCAGATGACAGTCAATGAGCTACGCAGAGAGAGACCTGAAAAGAGGATGTGATTTTTCAAACTCTCCGGAAATTCTGGCGAGGCTTTAGTTAGTCACTAGGACAAAGATAGCTGTATTTATTCTGATGGAGCAGAGTCATCATCATGGATGGATGTTTGCTAATGCCTGGGATTTCATTGATTTTATGGAACTTTTCGGTTACGGGTTACGAAGATGTCTACAGACTACTTCTGCTCTGCACGGTCATCATCATAAGAATACCCTTGATCTTTGTAGGCATTATAAGGTATGTTGCCAGCTTAAAAAAATGTAAGAGCAACAGAAATATTCAGTAAAATGTAATTTAGCAATTTGGACTATGACCAGATAGGTTGACTGCTTACAAGCTTCTAACATTTCTTTCTGAAATCCATATTTGTCAGACACATCCACTTCAGGTAAAGCTGTTCCTGGAGTTGTGGCATAACTTTAACCTGTCAGTTAACCAATGAAATCCAGGTTTAAATATCTAGATCAGCGGCCACCAATGTTGGCATCAGAAATAAACCAATATAAGAATTTGTGAGACTTTTTAGAAAACTATGGAATATGCAAATATTGGAATTTTACTCTCAAAGTGTAAGTGTACACATTTGAAAGATTGAATGAAATATGCCGTCATTTGTCACAAATAAAACTTTGGCATTAAAGTAAGATTTCAGCCTTTCAACCAATATTTGTGTAATATGATGAAATCTCAACTTTTAGACATTGCAACATTTTCAAATTCTATCATTATCACATGATTTTCTAACATCATGCAGTCCAGCTCTTTAACATACTCAAAAACAGCACTTGAGATCAGGAGTTTTTTTTTTTTTTTTTTTTAGTTTTTTGTGGGCTGGAAGGTAAAATATTTAAAAACCACTGGGCTGGATGATTGCTTCATTTTGTGCTCAAAAAGAGACGTTGACATCTTCCATTATGAACTTCATTTTATCTATTTATTTATTTTTTTTATAACACAATATTTCCAAAACAATATCTATGCCAAGAATTTTCTTTTAGCCTATCATTTTTTTGCTCAGCTTTACAGTAAAGTAATTTAGTATTAAAAATAAAGGCCGTATGTGAACATTGATGTAAAACTGGATTCTGATTTTGAAGCAAAGTTTATTGAAGGATTTTACAGTTGAGTTTTCGGTTTTGCTTCCATCCATTTTAATCATCTTATACTATTATATCATGTTTATACTTTCACAATACCCTTAAATGTTTTACCTGTACACCTCCTAATGAAATCTGAACTTAGCACTTTGAAAAGGCCTATTGAAAAATGTGTGGATGCTGCTTTAAGGCATTTTACAGTATGTCACAATCAGTGAAAATGTATTTTTATGTTAAAAGGTTTTAATCCCAATGTTTAATTTTTTTTTTATTTATTCCCGGTTATTTTCATAAAAGGAAAAAAGAAAATCCTATCCAATGCTACAGCAGAGGACAGTGGATAATGAATGTGAAACAGTTGCAGTCAGTGCAACAGTTTTCACAAGGTTCCAAGTTTCACTAGGCTGAAGCAACATGCAGACATGCAGATGCTGGCACTAAACCTATTCTGCCCTCCTACCTCGCTTCTTTTAGCCACTACCCTCTTTTTGCTTGCAAACTCACGTAAACACAGAGGCATTATTATTTTTCAGTGAATGAGTTTTTCATAGGCCTAAGTAGAGTACATCTTTGCTACTTCTGTTATTTGCTGTTGTTTCTCAAATAAAATGCATAACAATATTACAGCTTTCATTTATTTATTTCAAATTTGAAACATTTTCTAGCTTGTAAGGTAAAAAAAAAAGTATTAACCAATCGAATTGAATCATATCGTTGTGCATTGAGTATAGAAATTAATCAAATCCTTGGGTCAGGAAATTGATACCTGAATCGAATCACCATAATGGGTGTGATTTACACCCCTAAATACAACTGACTGTTAGATATTGGAGAACATGTTATTAAAAGAAAAAAAATCAGTTACTGGATCTAGTTATTCTGGAGACATTGGCTCAACATTTGGTTCTGACAGCTGAATCAGAAGCTGATCAGAAGTCCTGCATTAAGACAATAATTTGAAGCCCAACAGCAAAACCAGGAGAAGACTGAAACAGCAGCATGTTAAAGTGTTGCATTGATCCAGGCAAAGTCCACAGCTCAAACTTTTCTTTCAAAGTCTTGAGACAGATGTTTGTTTGCTTTTTTTGCATTTGGACTTTACTAGGTAGTCAAAATTTCTCCATTTCGAAATTCTGTACTTTTCCAATACTTAAATTCTAGATCTTTCTCAGTTTTTAACATCTTATTTACTTAAGGATGAAACACAAATCATGAAACAATTTCCTAATCATTTTACTTTGCAATTAAGGGCTTTTAGTGGTCACTTTTTTTTAGTCTATGATTATTTTTATCTTTTCTTTTACTTTTTATTTCTCATGCTCTCCATGTATTTTTATTTAGCACTTACCTGTTTCACTGTGTAGCACTTTGGGATTTGTTTAAATATAAAGTGCATTACAAGTCCAAAGTATTATTATTATTATTACTAATAAATTAATTGAAAATCTAAAAAAAACTTGAATAATTTTTTTCAACAGATTGTAATCTTAGAAATCTTTAACTAGTTTGGTAAAACATTTTAAATGTTGCATTTTTAAACAACATTATTAGTAAAAAAAAAAAACAACAACAAAAAAACACATTATCTCAGATAACAAGAAGACAAAAAAAGGGGAAAAAATCTGCACATTTTTCTTCCTTTTCGAATTTAAATTTGGGTTCAGACACAAACTGCTCAAACATTTTTGACAAATACCAAAATGTGGCATTCAAATATAAAGTCATTTACATGTTATTTAGGATCTGATCAAACTGCATAAGAACCAGTTGGATAAACAAGTTTTTAGAGTTTATTTTTTACTTCATTGTGAATTATGTAAAATGAATAACTTAAACACATATACACATAAGTGATAAGAAGACCATTAAAAGAAACACAAAACAGCTCCTTTAGGAACTGATTTCATTTTTCACATCATCATTAACTTGTCTCTCTATTAAATTAAAACATCTTACCATATTCAACGCCGCTGAAAAGAAAAATGAGTCCAATAGTGAAGAAAGTCAGTTTCTTTTTACGCTGATTTTCCATTGCGGTTGAGTTTTTCGTCGTTTTTTACTGATTCTTTAACACATCATCATCTCTCCTCAAACATCTGCTGGTATAATCGTAAGTGCGGTGCTTCCAATTAGAGCCGCGGCAGGATCCTGCAGAACAACATGAGCTCCTTAAAGCATCGGTAGACCAAAAACCAGGAGAAAAACGCTTCTGCAGTCGGATTCTTTCCAACCTGATTCACGGCTCTGCACTAAATGACAGAATTTTGGAAACTAACTGAACAGGTCCTGCTTACTCCAAACCCCTGCAGCACTAAACTATAGATTGACTGACTATTACTGCGCTAACGACGTCACTTCCGGTGTCCCAGAAATAAATTAGCTTCTTAAATTAAATCTGAATCCACATTCCTGTCATTCCTGATTTAATCAATTATTACGTGGTTGTAAATAACCCTGAAAATTAGTGAAAAATTCAGTACCAACAAAAGTATCTTAAATATATATGTGTATACAAAATGACAATAAAAGTTGTCTAAGTCTAAAATATTTAGTCTCTATGTGATCTTTTTAATTTTAATGTAATACAAACCCTACCTTTATTATATCATTTTTGTTTTATAAACTGGGAAGGATCTAACACTAGACTTAAAACCCCTTCTTACTGATTAGGTAAGAGATAAAGGAGTGGGGGGACATGACTAGACATGTTCATACTTCAGACGATCAGAAATGTTTCAGAGCTCCGTGAAGCCTGCACCTCTGCTGTTTGAGTGGAAGTTTGAATTGTGGTGTCCTTCTGTCATTTTTTAGTTGCTTGTTTAGTCTTTTAAGGCATTTAGTCACATATCCAGAAGATTTGACTCTGGTTGTTTAATTCATGTTTAATCATGGGCGGTTCTAGACAGGGGCCAACAGGGGCCAGTGCCCCTTTAGGTCATGTCCTGGCCCCCGTTATGGCCCCTGTACTGAAGACATAAGAAATTCTAATGACGATACGCACTGGAACAGACATGGTTACTGATTGGTCCTTTGGATCCATTTCTTTTTCTTTACAAATTCTGTTTTACTAATTATAAAAAAAAAACGATAGGGTGATAGCTTCAGTGGTATTGAGATAGGATCCCAGTTTTCATCTGCTAAATGTTTTTTTCAAAACAAATTTTAAAAAATACTCAAATTTTTACAGCTGAATTTATCAGTTTTCTTGAGTTCTAATTCGGATTTTATAGAAAACTGTAATTTTAACTTATATTGAGTCAAAAATATGTAAAATTCCTAAATTCTGAATGTATATTGACCTAATAAGACATAGAATTTTAATTAAACTGAATTAAATAGAAATTTGCGTGTGAACCCTTTATTGCAGCAAGTTACCATTTTTGATCACTTGCATACCCCTTAGAAATTAATTCCCCCCATCTCTCAGTGAGGTCTAGTAGCACAAGATCTATATCCAGCCGTTCAACAAAGATACTGCTACATCGTTTTACATCTTATTTTGACATTCGACCAATTAGTCTTAATTTACTGTAGGGCTAGGGTTAGCCACTAGATGAGCCCTTGAATATATCATTCAAGGGCTCATCTAGTGGCTAACCCTAGCCCTACAGTAAATTAAGATGAAAAAAAAGTTAACAAGTTAAGAAAAAAAGGTAAAAAGCTGATTGAAAAGTTAAAAATTAAAGTTAAAAGGTTAATAAGCCTCTAAGGTTATGTTGTACCTTAAAAAAATGTGTTTCTTTTACTCTGTGTTTTTCATGAATTTTCTAAAGAATTACTTTTATTATTGTTCTTAATATATTAGAAAGTTGGTGTTTCTTGTTATTACATTGACATTAATTTATGCCATCAAAATATAGGTATTTTTTTATGTTACAAAGGTAATAAGCTCTTGTCCTGGATTTCAATAACACTACAAAAATGATCTATAAATTTGTTAAAATGTCTTTAAAAAAGTGTATATACCCTTAATTCGAGTAGGTAATATAAGAAAATCTCCCAGTTGAAGGAGCATTTTTATCCTTAAAATCAGATTATTTGATATTATGCACTTGAAATAGGAGACTGCATTTTTCCTCTTATTTTAAAAGTACATTTTCTTATTCCATTTGCAAAGTGTCTGACTTACCGGCTCAATTCAAGATAAAATGCTCTTATTTTAAGAAAGATTGACTTACTTAGAATAGTTTTTGCAGTGCACTCTTTGCTTGACTTTTAGATGTTTAAAGTCTTTCACTGAGTGCCCTATAAAAGGTTAACTTTGCTACGCAATCGCAACACTGTGGTTTATCACTCGGGTTTATGTCAGATTGTCTTCTTTGACTTCTGTGGTGATTTATGTGAACAGTGCTGGGTGGAATAATTAGGGCTATAAGAGCCACATTTATGTAATATTAACTCTCATTAAGAGCTTCCTAAAATGGTTTGTCTGGCATAGACTTTGCTTGCAGGAATGCATGAGTCAGTGGTGGGGGTTCCTCATCCTGTGACATTGATTACCACAGCCTTACACTGGACATTTGTGCACAAAGACGGCTTCTTTGCCGTTAATTGGTTTTGCAGTATTCTGCATCTTGCATTTTTTTTCACCCCATTTTACATGTATTTGACCATGCAAGGTAATCAGTTAGAGCTTAAAAGTGCTTTGAATTGTTTTTTCAGTAAACAACCTGAAATGTATCGTGTAAAATTAAACTGTCAACCATCGCCCATGTGAATGAAAGCACAGAATAGCAAGAAGACACTTCTGCTGTTTTAGATTTCCATCTAAAAAGGAAATAACTTGCTGGTGTCAGAAGTGATAAGCATCCCAATATTATGTTTAAGGTCAACATCTGCAGCTGCATACATATAAAAGGAATACAACCCACAGAGAGCATACCATACTCTGAAAAAGTTCAAGTTTTTTTTTTTTTTTTTACATGCAAAACATTTAAGTTTGTGAATTTATGGAAGGTTTTCCTAAAGTGGACAGAAGTTAAACTGGGATTCTGGGAAAAAGGCTGGAAAAAAGGAGAATACAAGGAATGCAATAGGGAGCATAGCAGACAGGGAAGGGAGGAAAGAAAATATATGCAGGAAAAAAGGACACGAGAGGGAGGTGAAAGTAATATATTTAGTAATATAAGATCAAAGGAAAACTCTAAATAAATTGAAGAAAAAATAAGCAAGGTGCTACAATATGAAGAAAATAAGTGAACAATGAAGAAAATGTACTAAAAGGAGTGACGGGAAAAAAAACAGAAGGAATAAGGAAATAAAATAGAACAGTAAGGAAAAACAGGAGAGTATAGAATGTAAACATTAAAGGGGAGACAAACTAAAAAGGGGCAATAGAATATGTGGAAGAAAATTATATGAAAGAAGGAATAAGGAGAGATGTAGATTTGGACTATCACAAAGTGATGCAGGAGATTCAAGAAAGTTTTTACTTTTGCTAACCCTTTTTTAGACATTTCAACAAGGTATATGTTACATTTGTTAATGTCGTGTGTAGTATCTGTGTCTGTGTACACTTATCTTATTTACAGTGCTTCATGGTACCAATGTTGATTGTTGCTATAACAGGTTTTCATGATGATTTAACTGTTCTGGAATTCATTAATTCATTTCTTTTAAAAATTACATATGATAAAAATTAAGGACAGGAATAATGGGAATACGGAAAAAACTACGAAGAAAAGATCAGAAGAAAAAGGGAATGAAGAAGATTGAAGAAATGATGAGAGACATGAATTTAAGAGGCAAAATGGAAAGACCAAATGATCTACAAGGACAAAAAACAAGATGGAGAGAAGGAACACTCCCAAATCTATTCAAAGGCATTAAGAATGTCAAGAACTAAACATTTCTTTCATTCTCTACACGACCTGAAAGAAACTCCTACTAGACTTCTTAAAATAAAAACCCAAACCACAAAACAATAAGAATAACCAGGCTGATTGTTTGTTAAACACTGTTTTCATAAAAAATATTTATTTACAATGTTTATGCATAAGATGGCAGCAGGTCTTTGAAAATCTTCAGTCTGCATTTCATCTTAATAGGAAGATTTTCATCAACCGACACAAATAAAAAATGTTTCCAAAAAAGCTTTTCCAACAGAATCCACTTTCACCGTCTGTAAGTTGCCATGAGCTCCAAACTGAGGTATGTGAATTTTACTGTTTCTTCAAAGAAAGTTAACACTAGTTGCCAGTCAGTGTGTGAGCAGAATGGTGTTCAGAAGGCCAGCTTTTTCATGAGCAGGTAGACTCTGGAGTCCACTTCAAAGCCATGAAGGTTGTTGGCGTCTCCCTGCAGCCTCATAAGTAGGCCTCCATATGACACATAAGCAGACCTGAAAGTTTAAGCAAATCAATGGAGGAGGGTTAGAATAATAACTTCTTAAATTGTGATTTGGTTAAAGGACTTTAAGTCAATAATTTGAATTCTTATTAGCACTTCTTTCATAAATACATGTTTTATCAAGTTTTTATAACAATCCCATCAAAAATGTTGTACTAAATACATTGAAATAAGTACATGGCTACGGTGGACCTAATGAAAAATGTTCCTTTGTCATCTGTGATTACAGTAGCCACAAGGGGACAAACTTTAGGCCTTACACGATTTATCCAGTAAAAACCGGGAGAAAAGAATCTAAAATCATTTTGCTCTCAGAGACTCATCAAGCTTTTATCAGGTGGAGAAAATTCATTTTGCTGGACAGGTGAGTTCAATATAACAGTGGAGTCTTCTTTTGGTGTAATGCTACAAACAAGGCAGCAACCACTCTGTCATCTTAGCACAGACGGATAGTTTGTTTGTTAACCGTGTGATCATAATTTATTTTAGCCGATTTGTCAAGTGTGATGGAGCTGATGTCTTTCCTTCTGTCGGAAATAATAGATCCAAGTTATATCCGTTTCTTGCCGTATTTAATGTCTAAAGCCGCAGCATTCTTCTGATAAAAAAAACATCTCATAATAATTATGTATAAGCGATAGTTGATTAACGTTGGTCCTCAGGGCCCACTGTCATGCATGTTCTAGCTTTTCCCTTTCTCCACAACCCTGTCTTAAATGAACAAGTGATTAAGAAGCATTTGCAGCTTTTGATGGCGGCTTAGGAAACAATACGACCATTTGAATCAGGTGTAGGTGAAGAAGGAACACATTTAAAACATGAAGTACAATTGCACCCCCAGAGTTAATAAAAGATTATCTAAACAATATGTTTACAGTTTACTCACAGACGTGTAGCTGCTTCTGTTGAGGTTTCATCCCCTTCAATCTTGTACACCTTTCCATACATCACATACTCAAACTGGTCTGCTCTACAAAA